TTGCTAATAATCATAATTTTTGTCTAATCGATTAATTAATTACTTATTAAATTAAATTATTATTTTTATGATTTATAATTAAAATAAACATAATTTTAATTAAATCGTGAATTTTGAAAAGGGCTCAACTCAAAAATATAAGTGTCATTTTCGCATAACATGTGATAGGGAAAATGACTCTTAAAGTTTTTAGAGTTGAGCCCTATTCGAAATTTACGATTCAATTGTATTAAATTTTTTGTGAATTAATATTATAAAAAATTAAATAAATATTTGTGAAAATTATCTGTTTTGTTAAATTTCAAAGGAAAGTGAAATTATTTTTCTTAACAATGATCACTGGTGAAAAGGGATTTTTATTTTGGAAGTTAACCTGCACTTGATTGATGATTATAAGAACATATGCCGGCCTGCGTTTTAAACAGGGCCTACTTTGTCTGCAATGATGACTACGTTGTAAGTGTAAGGATCTTTATTTTTCACAATCTAGGCCTGCTCGGTGGCCCTGATTTGCGCTTGGGTCACATTTAGAACCAATTAGAGCAATTTTGAAAAAAAAAATTAAAAGTAAGGGCGCACTCACACCTTCTGGCTGCCTGCCTGCCTGCAGGAGTTGTCATGACAACGTGCAGGAGTAAGAGAGAGAGAAAATTCAAATTTGAATTTATTATCTCTGTTACTCCTACACGTTGTCATGACAACTCCTGCAGGCAGGCAGGCAGCCGAGAGGTGAGAGTGCGGCCTAACCTGTTCTACTTTTGAAAACCCGGCTGAAAAAACTTGTACAAGAAAATGTACAAGTTCTTGTACATTTTCTTGTATAAATTTTTCAGCCGGGAAGACAATTCCTTGCTTATGAATAATAATCACAGTCAAACAAAATAAAAATTGTCTGAATTAGAAAAAAAAGTTTCATGCGAAACCAATTAATTTTTAAAAAATCTTCCACAATTTTGTATTTTGAAAAACTAATATCATATTCGTAATTAGCGACCCCAATAACTTCCGAGTAACGACTAACGAGTTAGAAGCAAATTTGATATTCGATAAATATTTTAATATATGGAAAATATTTACACTTTCATTTAAAAATATTATTTCTTTAAATGAAAATAATGATTAGGCCTACGCAGAATGAAATCTCTAATCGTACATCTTAAACTTTCACATGAGAGAGAAAAGGATAGTAATATCTTTTGTCCTTTTCTCTCTCATGTAAAAGCTTAAGATTTACGATTAGAGATTTCCTTCTGCGATGGCCTTTTGATTTAAATTTAAGGTTTAGTTTACAATGAGTCCATGTAAATTTCGACTGGAATTCAAGTAGAACGTCCGAAATATGCCACATATTTATATTTTTGACCCCTTCTTCACCCTGCTTTTCTCTATTTCTAGTTCCCCGCCATGTATCGAAAAAAGCTACCATTCCCTTCAAAGTGTCACAATTTAGATATTCCACTGAATTTTTTTATACACTAAAAAAAATTTCTTTTAAAGCAGTGATTTTACTTAATTAAATGTGGCAAATTGACTAGGTTATGTTCGTATTTTTACAAAAAACTGTAAAATTACAAATACGGTAGTAATTATGTCACATTGAAAGTAGGTAATATTTGGTACTACTCTGAAAGTAGTAAATTTACAGAAAATTACGAATGGGCTATTTTAAAAGTATTAAGTTTAAATCAGTTATTGTATATTTACTGCTTTGAAATAAGTTCAGTTACAGATTTTGGTAAAATTACAAGTTCAATCCGTAAAATAAGACAAAATTTTTTTTTACAGTGTATTTATTATTGTCATTAAGATTTTGACAGGATTCTTAACCTAAAAAATTGTTTTTTTTGTATAATCGTCGTTTGAGGATTATTTTATACGTTAAAGTTTATTCTGTGTGTATTAAATTTACTGTATTTCTATCCAAAGTTCGCAATATAATGAAAATAAAATAATGTACTAGATCAACCAAAGAATTATTTTTCATTAAAATTTAAAATATTTAACTGCATATCAGGAATATTTTGTATAAATGTGGAGTAATTTCTGCACGGGAAGTATTGTGATAATTTTTTTTTATAATTATTTCTGATTCATACAACTTTTTTTTAGTGGCTGCTTTATTTTTTGTAGAATTGTTAAATCGAATATTTGACTAGAAAGAAAGATAATTATGGGCTTAAAGAAAAAAAAATTTATTATTAAAAAAACAAAAATTTCGACTCGGGTACTAATAAAAATTAATAAAATGAAAAAACGAAAAATAATTACACATACAATGGAATTCAAGTTTTGCGTCAATCCTGATATTTGTTATAAATGAATAATAGGAATGAAAAAAAATTGACGAGATGAAGAAATATAAATAACTAGTATGTATACAGCTTAATATCATTACATTCTTAAATATCATAACACAAAATGGATAGTGAAAACTCATAATGATGGAAATCTAGAAATGAAATATTTCTATTGTTACAATAGAAAAAAATTTAAAAAAAAAATGTTTTTCTGTAAATTTCTAAACTGTGCTATAAAAAGTTTATCGTCATTCTGGGATTTCCTTCTTCCAAAATGCTTCTCACATTATTCTTTTAGATTGCACACGCTTTCAAATTAACAATTTTTTTTTCAATATGAATAATTATGAGGCGCTTAAATAAGCTCTAAAATTAATTTCTTAGAATTTCCAATTGACAGAATTTCATTATCTAGATTTTACTTTTAGAGCGACTCCACGTCAAGTGATCGCACCGATTTAGGCTAATTTGATAAATTTTTATAATATTGATAATTTGGGTTCCTTAAGGGTCAAAAAATGAAATCCTAAATGAGGCAAAAGTTTTGAACGTTGAAATGAACGAAATATTTTTTTCAATCTATAAATGATTAAAATTATGATTTCAATGTAAATTAAAACAATAAATTAAACAACTATTAAATTAAATAACTTCTTTTTAAATTTTTAAAACAATATTTTGTAATAAAATTTGTACTTAAAGAATTTGCAAAAAAAAATTTTGTTCATTTGAACGTTCAAAACTTTTGGCTCATAATCCTAAGTATTTTTAAAAAATTCCAAATATTTTTCAAAATATTGCACATTTAAATTTTTTGTAATTTTTTTTTTAATTGATTTATTATAACTTCCGTAATTTTTAACCAATCGGGATGAATTTTTTTTTAAATACTCGTATTTAGATGCTCTTTCATAAAAAAAAAAATTTGAAAAAAAAAATTCAAAAATTTTAATTTTTATTAAGAAAACAATTTTAATTGTTTAAATAATTCGAAAAGTACATCTTCGATTTTTTTTTTCAAAAAATTCATGAACATTCTCTACAATGTCCTGAAAAATTTAAGACCTTGAAAAAGATGGTATGTCTTATAGTTTCCGAGAAAAAAATTATTTAGTTTTTGTAGCGCATGAAGTCATTGTAAACTATATGAGGCATTTCATATGAGAATACGCGGGGTCATGTCTAGGATTTTTCTCAAAATTCGATAAATTGTAGTTATAGTTGTGTTGAATAAGTGTACAAATTTTGAATTTGAAATTTTTAATATTTTTCGAGATATTTACAATAACAAATTTGAGCAATATTTTTTTTGCTTTACTTATAACTTTTTCCCTACTAAAAATAAAGAGAAATGTTGAGAATGTTTTTTACGCAAAAGACCTTAAACTTTTAGAAAAAAATTATTTTTAAAAAAAAATATATTAATTTTTAAACAATTTGTTTAAAAAATAAAATTTGTTTATAACTTTTAAATATGTTCTCCCTTATTTAGAAGCGCGAAAAAAATCATAAATATTGTTTAAGTTATAATAAATCGATGGTTAAATTTTTGAAATGGCATTATTTTTTGTTTTTCAGATATTAATTAATTAACTAACAAAAGTTAGTAAAAAATGAAATATTTTACGAACAAATAAAATTAGAGTAATTTTAAAAACACCATTAGAATGCTTATTAAAATCCGCATCCAACGAGCCATATATATAAACTATTTCTGATAAACGGGTGTGAAATTAATAAATAATAATAAAAATTATTTAAATAATTAATAACATTTGAAGAAATAAAGATAAATCGTCAATTTTTATTTTTTTTTTTCTATCGAATTTGAATTTGATAGAATAATTATTTCCTTGAATTTTTATTAGACAGAATAGTCATTAGAAAAAAAATTTATTTTATTTATTTATTTAATAAATTTTACAGAAAATATAATATTTTATAAATAAAAAAATTTATAATATTATAAATAAAAAAATATAATATTAGAAAAAATTATTTTCCAGCAGAATTTTTATTTATTTGAATTTACATTTTAGAGAATTTTTTAAAACGCCGAATTTTTTTTTTATATAACTTTTATTTTGTCCGAATAAATATTTGGCATAAAAATTTTTGAGTAAATTTGAAAATTGACCAGTCAGAAATTATCAACGGTTAATTTTAAATTTTGAGTTCAATTTTTTCTATATCAGATATTTATTCGGATAAATAAAAGTTCGGTTAAATAAAAATTCTGTCGAATGTAAAAATTCAAACAAGTGTAAATTCGATCAAAAAAGAATTCTTTCTAATATTTTTTCTGTAAAATAAAAATTCTTTAAAATAACTTCTGTCGAATGAAAATTTCAAAAAATATAAATACTGTCAAATTCAAAGAAATAAAAATTCTGTTAAATAAAAATTCGACTAAATGGAATTTTTGTTAAATTATTATTCGAAGAAATAAAAATTCCGCTAAAAGTAAATTCCACGTCATTGAAATTCCGTTTAAATTAAACTAAGAAATTAATTTTAAAACTCATAATAATGTGTCTCATAATTATTATAAAATTGAAAAAATGCTTCTTACGTTAAGAAAATATTTTTTTTTTTTTGCTTTTATTATTGTTGAATCGAACGATAAAATAAAAAAAAAAGTTTTTTTTTTTCAAATATATTTTGATTTTTTACGATGATATGTTTATTGGCTTCGTAATGTAGATGTATGGCCGCTATACGAAGGACCTCGGTGAATATGCAAAAGAAGAGGCACGAAGGCTCAAGTCACATAAAAAGTCGAGAAGAAAATTGGACAAGGCGAGGGCCGAGGACCTTAGAAAATCAACAAGAGGTCCTTTATGCAGAAAATTGGTGTCACTGTTGGCCTTCGCCTGGAAACACACTGGAGCAAGGCTCGGCGAAGATTGGGTCTTCCTGGCATTGCTTGGAGTTATAATGGCACTTATTAGCTATGTGATGGATCGAGGCATTTCCATGTGTAATAACGGTCAGTCATTTTTCATTATATTTTAACAGGCCTCGAATTATACGACTTTTTCGACTATTTCCGACTTTTTTTCAAAAATACGACTTTTTTCGACTTATTTTAATAAAATGCAACTTTTTCGACTTTTTTTTAACATTTAAAAATTTTTTTTTGAATAAATTACAATTTTTTTAGTATAAAAAAATTATTTCAATTATTTAACAAATTTTTAACTAAAACTCTTCACTAAATTAATTATTTTTAATAATTTTAATGGAATTTATCACAAATTCAATTATTTTAAACTATTTTTCAATTAAAATTTTTATGAAATTTAATCATTGTATATAATTTAAAAAAAATTAGCAAAATAAAATTACCAGAAAATTCTAATAAATTCTTCATCAACAGAAATTATTAGAAATTTCTCTTATTATAATAATTATTGTCTGAAAATTAACACAATCTTTTGAAATTAAATTATTTTCCAAAATTTCAATTGAAATTCAATTATTTACAAAATTTTCAATTAAAAATCTTTTAAAATTCAAAAAATTTTCCATAATTTCCATTCAAAATCAAATAAAATTCAATTATATTCAAAAATTCCAATCCAAAATCAACTAAAATTCAATTATTCTCAAAAATTTCAATTCAAAATTATTTATTATCAATATTTTCAATCTAAAATCAACTAAAATTAAATTATTATCCAAATTTTCAATTGAAATTCAATTATTTTCAAAAATTTCAATTTAAAAGCTTTTAAAATTTACCATCTAAAATTGTTTGAAATTTAATAATTTCAATTATAACTCTCTCATGAAATTCAATTATCTTTAACTATTTTCATAATATTATTCGAAAATTCAATTATCTGAAACCATTTTTCAATTAAAAATCACTTGAAGTTCAATTAATTTCAAAAATCTCAATTATAAATCATTGAAAATTCAATTACTTTTAAAAAATGTTATCTGAAATTATTTAATAAATTATTTTTAATTCTGTAAAATTTAATTATTGTCTGAAAATTAACAAAATCTTTTGAAATTCAATTATTTCTAAAAATTTCAACTTTATAACTCTTCTAAAATTATTATTATTTAAAAAAAAAAATTTTATTTGAAAATCTGTAAAACTTTTTTTGTTAAAATAAAAAAAATCGACTTTTTTGACTTTTTTTGGAACATAAATCGACTAAAACGACTTTTTTTGTCCCTTTAAGTCGATCCGAGGCCTGTATTTAAATATATTTATTTTTAAATCGTGCATTTTTCCATTTTATTATTATTTTGCACAATTTTCATAATTCGAAAATTTCTCTAAATTTGAATTAGTAAAAATTCAGCCACTAAAATTCAAATTATTCGAAATTTTTGCTAATTTTTAATCATTTTTCACTAAAATAATAATTTAAAAAGAAATTAAAAGAACTAAATCAATTAGAAATAATTTATTAAAAATTAGTGAAAAATGAACTAAAAGTTTTGAACTTTCTGAAATATTTTTTTCAATATATAAATTATTAAAAATTATAATGATAATTATCGTCAACCGGAACTATTATATTATTTTCATACCGTGGTACGAAAATCGAAATTATTTTTTTTTCTATAACTAAAATTCTAAAATTTATATAGAAAAATATTTTAAACTATTTGGTTGTGTTGTAGAAAATCTTCTAAAAAATTTTCTCTAAGTTATTATGATACAAATTTTGTTTTTGTTCATAAAATAAATTAAAAATTTGTTTTTTCAAATTATTTTATTAGTGAAAAATAATTTATTATAGAAACTTCATTACAATTACTGATTTCTTTTAGGTTTTAGAATTGATATTTTAAAAAAAAATTTATTTTTTTCAAATAATTTTTTTTCAGATTTTATTTTATTTTTTTAAATTTGCTAAAATAATTGATTTTAAGAAGTTTGAAAATTATCATCAAAATATAAAGTCTCATCGTCATGTGCCAGAGTATATTAATATTTTGTGGAAAGATTATTCATAAAAATTTTTATATTTCAGGAAATGACTAATAAAATCGCATTACCGTCATATTAAATTTTCTTCAGATATGCAATTTTTCAAAAATAAATTTTTAGAAAATAATAATTTACACTGGCACATAACAACGATTATTCTTATTATACTATTTTTGAGTTCTCCTCAAAATTTTAGCTCAGTCAAGAAAAGTATTTTGCAAAAAAAACCTGCGAAGAATATTTACATTGTAGAATCACAACAATCACACGACCTTAATTAGTATATATATATAATTAACAGATAATTTATAATAAATTAATAAAACAAAAGGTAACACAAAATTATAATTCAGATTAAGTGAAAATTAAACTGCAATATAAAATCATTAAAAAGATAAAAATACATCATAAGGAAAGTAAATTTTTTTTTTTAATAAACAATATAAATTTATAATCTATTTCGGTTTGACTTTCGAGGTCATAATTTTTAAATTTCAAACTTATAAATGTTTCGAAAAAAGTAATGTTTTGAAATGAAAATTTTTTGTTTGTTTATAAATAAATAAATAAATATTCCCAAATAGGATATTTGAGATACAAAGGTGCAAAACTTAAGCGTTAAATACATATTTTAGTCTTAAATTTTTGGCAAAGAATTAACATTGACACGTGTGTCTATAATAATTTTAGGATGTCTAGCCAGAGTGAAGTAGAGAATAAAATTGTTTATGTATACACACGCACAATTCTTAATTCTATTTTATGCAATTTCAACCAATTTCCCCTCAAGCATAATATTACGAGTGGGAAATTTTGGAATTGATTTACGAGTTACATAAACAGAAGAGTTTTGTTTTCCAAAACATAAGAAATCTAAAGTGCGGGCTAATTAAAATTTTGCTTTCTTATATTTTAATTTAATTTTATATTTTATTAAAGAATCTTTTTATTTAAATGCATGCAGATTATATTTTAGGTAAGAAATTAAAGGTTTTTTTTTATTAGAATTGTTTTCTGTTACGTGATTTTCGGAGTCGCTGAATCGAAATTTGAGGCCAGATTTAAAAAAATTCAAAATGGCGGTCCAAATATGGCGGAAAATTTTAAACTTGATTAGATTCGTTCAAATTTCGGTACTCGGAGGTTTTTGGGATCGCTGAATATAAATTTTATGTTGTTTTTGAAAAATTCATTAGGTCTGATCCAGCATGCCGACAAAAAATTGGGACGCATGATTATGTTCTAAAAAATCATTAGTTAGAATTTTCATTTGTCATAATTATTTTTGAGCCGAATTTTTATTTGTTCGAATTAGTATTTTGCAGAATTTTCATCAAAACGATTTTCTATAATTACAGAATTTTTATATAACCGAAAATTCATTTCACATAATTTTTATTTGTTCGATTTTCTATTTGTCAGAATTTTTATTTTCTCGAATTTTTATTTGTCAGAATTTTTTTTTCCTCGAATTTTCATTCAACATAATAGGCATTTTAAAGAATTTTTATTGGGTAGAATTTCGTTGCATACAATTTTCTTTCAGATGAATTTTCATTTGTTCGAATAATTATTTGATATAATTTCCATATAATCGATTTTTATGGTTGGTTCCACAATAGGCAAAATCGTATCGTTTTAAAGACGATTTTCAAGACTAAACGATTCGCAACAATAGAAAAAGTATACGCGCGCATCATTTCGTCCTGAAAATCGTCTTGAAATATCTGATTGTGGAGGCAAACTCATACTACAGAATTTTTACTTAACCCAAAAAATCATTTAACAGAATTTCAAATTGATAGAATTTTCATTTGTCTGAAATTGCAAATGGCCGAACAAACAATCGATAGAAAGATTTCGGCGCGATTTTTAAAATCAACCAATCAAAAATTATAAATAAAATTGTGATTGGTTGATTTTAAAAATCGCGCCGAAATCTTTCTATCGATTGTTTGTTCGGCCATTTGCAATTTCAGAAAAAATGAAAATTCTATCAATTAGAAATTCTGTTAAATTAATTTTCGGTTAAGTAAAAATTCTGTAGTATGAAAAATCGATTATATGGAAATTATATCAAATAATTATTCGAACAAATGAAAATTCATCTGAAAGAAAATTGTATGCAACGAAATTCTACCGAATAAAAATTGTTTAAAATGCATACTATGTTAAATGAAAATTCGAGCAAATAAAAATTCTGACAAATAAAAATTCGAACAAATAAAAATTCTGTGAAATGAATTTTTGGTTTTATAAAAATTCTGTAATATAGAAAATCGTTTTTGATGAAAATTCTGCAAAATACTAATTCGAACAAATAAAAATTTGGCTCAAAAATAATTATAACAAATAAAATTCTTTAAAATAAAAATTCTAACTAATGATTTTTAGAACATAATCATGCGTCCCAAAAATTTTTTAAAAATGTACCAAATTCGCCTGAAACTTGATATTTTAAATTTATTCAAAAGTAAAACTTTTTAATTCCGCTCTTTATCGAACCCGATGTCACAAACGAGGACAATTTTTAAATTTTCCTCCATATTGGTTCGCCATTTTGAATTTTTTAAATTTGACCTCAAATTTAAATCCAGCGACCTCAAAAACCCCCGAGTACCAAAATTAGAACGAATCAAATCAATTTAAAAATTTTCTTCCATATTAGGTCATAAACACAACACATTATACTCAAAATATACAAATAGATTTTATATTTAAAATTTAGTATAGCTTATACAAGAAGCAGTGTATTGAAAAAAATTAATCTATACGCGTAAGAAAAAAAATTAACGGAATCTATATGTAATCATTAATAAAAAAAAATAATTTTTCTTCGCCAGCTAGGATATGGCTCTTTGGAGAACTCACAACTCATCCTGCTCTACAATACATTGCCTGGGTTTCACTTCCAATGTGTTTAACTTTATTCAGCGCAGGATTTGTTCACATTGTTGCACCTCAAAGTATAGGATCAGGAATACCAGAAATGAAGACAATTTTACGTGGTGTTGCCTTAAAGGAATATCTAACATTTCGCACTCTTGTTGCCAAAGTTATTGGACTCACTGCCACATTGGGATCTGGATTACCACTTGGCAAGGAAGGTCCATTTGTTCATATTGCCAGTATAGTGGCAACTCTTCTTTCAAAATTGGTAACCAGCTTTCAGGGAATTTATGAAAATGAAAGTAGAAATTGTGAAATGTTAGCGGCGGCCTGTGCAGTTGGTGTGGCTTCATGTTTTGCTGCTCCAATTGGTGGTGTTTTATTCAGTATTGAAGTAACAACTGTTTATTTTGCTGTTAGAAATTATTGGCGTGGATTTTTCACTGCTGTATGCGGTGCAACAATGTTTCGTCTTTTAGCAATTTGGTTTCAACGAGAGGAAACAATAACGGCCATGTTCCTCACTAATTTCACCAATGACTTTCCATTTGATCCTCAGGAGCTATTTGTATTTGCTCTCATTGGAGTTGGGAGTGGACTTGGTGGAGCGTTTTATGTTTGGCTACATAGACAATACGTTATTTTTATGAGGAAGAACAAGAGCATGAACAGCTTTTTACAAAAGAAGTAAGTTTTTAGAAAATTAACTATTAGATAAAATAATAAAATTGCAGGAAAAAAAGAGCTTTATTTGTAACAACGATAGGTACTAGAAAAAAATTTTATTGAAAGAATTAAAATTTTTTTGCTATTCTAGTGAAATCTTTTGTTGTTCCAGGTGAAATTTTCTTTTTTATATTTATTTTTAAAAATTAATAGAGAATTAGTTAATGTTTTAGAAATATCTAAATGGTTCCTTAAAAATGAAAAGGAACCAATAGGTTAAGAACAGTTTTGCAATTGTCCCCAGTTTTGTTTCTATCTAAAGAATCAACCTATTTACAAATATGTCCTTTATAGGTCTCGGATTATACGACTATTTCGATTTTTTCCGATTTTTTTTTTTCGAAAATACGACTTTTATCGAATAATTTTAATAAGATGCGACTTTTTCGACTTTTTTTACATTTTTTTTTTTACAAAATATTTAATAATTTACGTCTTTTTTTTTAATATACAATGCAGATCTTTATTTCAATTATTTAATAAATTTTTAACTCAAATTCATCTCTAAAATAATTATTTTTAATAATTTTAATGAAATTCTTCACAAATTCAATTATTTTAAACTATTTGTCGAATTAAAGAATTTATGAAATTCAATAATTGTTTATTTAAAAAAAAAATCAATAACGGAAATTATCAAAACTATCAATTCAAAATCACTTGGAATTCAATTATTTTCAAATATTTCAATTTAAAAACTTCTAAAATTTAATTATTTCTAAAATTTTCCATCTAAAACTTTCGAAAATTTAATAATTTCAATTATAACTCTTCCGAAATATAATTATTTTTTTTGAACAATTTTTATAATAATTTTCCGAAATTCAATTATTTCTAAAATTTTCAATTGTAACTTTTTCAAAATACAATTATTTTCAATAATTTTAATGAAATTCTTCACAAATTCAATTATCGTAAACTATTTGTCGAATTAAAGAATGTATTAAATTCAATAATTGTTTAAAATTTTAAAAAGTTCATTAAATAAAATTACGAAAAATTTTCAATTTAAAATCACTTCTAAAATTTAATAATTTCAACTATAACTCTCTTTGAAATTCAAATTATTTTTAATTATTTTTATAATATTCTTCTAAAATTCAATTATCTGAAATAATTTTTCACTTGGAAAATTTTAAAATTCTATTTTTGTCTGCAATGTCTAATAAATTTTTCAGTAACAGAAATCATCAAAAAAATTTAATTAAAAATCGCTTGAAGTTCAATTTTTTTCAAAAATCTGAATTGTAAATCTTTGAATATTCAATTACTTTTAAAAAATGTTATCTAAAATTATTTGATAAATTATTTTTAGTTCTATAAAATTTCATTATTGTCTAAAATTTAACAAAATAATTTTAAATTTAATTATTTCTAAAAATTTCAACTTTAACTCTTTCAAAATTCAATTATTTTTAATAATTTTAATATTTATTTAAAAAGTTTCAAATAAAAATTCAAATATTGAATTGTTGAGAAAAATTAAAAAAAAAATACAGATGTTGAAATTTGCAGAAAATTTATTTCAAATTATTATTATTATTATTATTATTATTATTATTATTATTATTATTATTATTATTATTATTATTATTATTATTAAACATTAATTATTGCCTGAAAATTTTTTTGACCATCAAAACTAAAAACTATAACAAAATTTTTAATTCGAATAAATTGCTTAAATCAAACTTCAAAAAATTATAAAAATGGAACTTTAAGAATTTTTTTAAGAAAACGGTCCTAATTAAATAAAATTTTAAAAAAATTTGTCTCACAATTTGTTCGATTCTGAAATATTCGAAATAAATTTTCTTGATAATATTCTTGTAGAATTATTCTCATTACAGAATTAATAAAATTAATTTAATATAATAACATTAGTTATTTAAAGTAAAATAATTATTAACTAATTAAATTTTATTAAAATAAAAAATTGACTTTTTTTGTGCCTTAAATTCGATCGGAGGCCAGCCATTTTTTAAAATTAACAATCTCCTCCATATCAAGTAGATTTAATAAAATCTGTGATCAGCTTATACTCACCTATAGGGGAATTCCTTAAATTTTTTGGCACAAAACTGATCGCGTGATTCCCACTTTGTTGGCAATGTAACAGATTTTAAGAATTAATCAACTATTTCTAATTTTCCTCCTCGTTAAATAAAAAGAAACACGCTGTTTTATTGCTTCCAAAAGAAATAATAATAAAAGGAACATAATTATATTTCAGTCGATTTTTATATCCTGGAATTGTTTCTTTAATGGTATCATCAGCGTCATTTCCCTTGGGACTTGGTCAATTTATGGCTGGTGATTTAAATACTCACGATCAAGTTCATGGACTCTTTACTAATTTCACGTGGACAAAAGAAAATCTCAATGTCGAGGAAGTGAATATTGTTAAACATTGGGTTACACAACATTCTGATGTATTTATTGGACTATTAAGTTTCACATTATTTACGGTAAGAGATGTTTTTTTTTTTTTTTTTTTGAAAAATTAAAATCAATGATAATTACAAACATGTATAGTTTGTAATATAATGAAAATTACAAATGTAAAAATTAATGAGAATATAAATCGAATTATGTTTTCAGTTCGTTTTTTCAATTATAAGTTCTACTGTACCTGTTCCATCTGGAATCTTCATTCCCGTTTTTAAAATAGGAGCAGCTCTTGGTAGATGTGTAGGGGAAGGAATGGCTTTATGGTTTCCAACGGGAGTTCGATATGGAGGAATTATAACTCCAATAATTCCAGGTAAGATTGATCCTCTTTTTCAATTTTTAAATCACTATTTTTTAATATTTTTCACGAATTAAAAATTTTTTCGTTACAATAACAAAATAAGAAATATTAATTAATAAATAGTGCTACTTTTGAGAGTAACTTTAATTTTCCATTTGCATTTTTCAAAGACAATTTCATTTGTTTCCTGGAAATCCTGGAAAAGTCAGGGAATTTTAAATAAATTTGGAAAAATCCTGCAAAAGTCATGGAACTTTTTTCCTTCAAATCTTGGAAAACAATAAATTTTAAATATATTGTTCCATAATTAAGGTTTCTTAGCCAATTAACATAACCCCAAACTAAAAAGTTGTTTTTAACAACAAATAAAATGAAAATTATATTTCACTATGAAAAATAAAAAAATGTAATTTTTATAACAATTTTACAATTATTTTCTTTTATTTTTCAGAAATTTTATTTTTTGAAAAAACTGAATTTTTTTAAAATCCATACGATTGAAAATATAAAAATTGCGACAGAAATTTAAATTTTTAGTTTTTGAAAATTTCGAGTTTTATTTAAAAAATTATCAATAATGAATTCAGGGTGTCTAGCTACCTAGAATTCCTTGAAAACCTGGAAAAGTCCTTGATTTTTTTTTTTTTTACCTGAAAAACCTGGAAAAGTTCTTGAATTTTTCATCTTTTCCATGTATGAGACTATTTTTAACTTAATTTAATAAAATGTGACTTTTCCGACATTTTCTAAAACATTTTTTTAAAGAAAATACGACTTTATTAGAATAAAATTCACATTTTCCAAAATTGAATTATTTAAAAGAATATTAACTAGAATTCTTCGCAAAATTAATTATATTTAATAATTTTAATCAAATTATTTAAAATATTTTCTATAAACTTCTGAATTCGAACACTTTGCTAAAATCAAATTTCGAACAGTTTTTATTTTTTAAATTATTTTAAATTATTTTTTCAATTTTTCCTATTCTGAATTGAATTTTTGAAAATTTATTTAATTATGAAATATTGTAAATAAAATTTCTTGAAAATATTCCTATGAAACATTATTAATAATTTATTTAATTTCTAATTACAATTGTTTGATAATAAAATATTTACTAATTATATTTATTTAAAAATAAAAGAAGCGACTTTTTTTTAGTTTTCTTGTAATGTAAATCCACATTTTTTCTTCCTCTAAATTTGATCGTAAGCAAGAAAATGCCAAAAATTAAATTTATTCATTACTAGTTTACTATAAAAAGACACTTAAATTAATTTAATCTTGTACATTTAATGTATTTTTGTCATTGTTTGTTAAAATAGTACATACCTGGAAAAAAAATTTTTTTAACCTGGAAAAATCATGGAATTTTATTTGTCAAAAACCCTAGACACCCTGTGAATACACAATTTAATAAATTTTAATTTTGAAACAATGGTTTTTGAATGATTTTCCCTGTACTTTTCAATACCCAAAAAAAAGTTCAAACCTCCTCTTTATAGTGAAAATAAGATAAAATGTCTAAATTAGTCAAACTGAAAAATCAGAATTAATTTTGATGAAAAGGATTGAAATTTATTATAATATTGTAGTAACTACAATTTTTTTTAAATGTGTTAATATTTTACTATTAATTATAAAAATTTTATAACTACTTTTAAATAGTGATAAACTTTTTGAACTAATTAAATTTTACCAATAAATTAGTGAAAATAATTGATTTACTACTTATTTAGTAAAATTTAACTAATTCTTAATAAAGAGTAGAGCAATTTTAATTTTAAAAATTATTTTTTCAAATTCTTATTCCTAAAAGATACAGTATGATAAACAAATTATTTTTTCTTTCTTTTTTCTAAATTAAAATTTTTGAAAATTCATATGTAACATTGTAAAAAAAGTATTTAAAAACATGTAAAAAAAAATTACGGATGAAAAATATTCAAAATTGGGAAAGTAATTCAATTTTGCGAAAAATTTTAATTTTTTACAGACTATGTAAAAAATAGAAATAATAAATAATAATACTACCTTTTACTACCTATACTCTAAATTTGTCAAAATTTATTTTTATATAATTATTATAATGAGTAGAGAATTTTTTTTTTTATAGAAAAATTTGAAAATTTGAATTGAAAAATAATTTTTCAGGTGGATATGCAACTGTTGGTGCAGCTGCATTTTCAGGAGCTGTGACGCACACAATTTCAGTGAGCGTTATCATCTTTGAAATGACTGGTCAAATCACTCATATAGTTCCTGTTATGATAGCTGTTTTAATTAGTAATGCAATTGCCGCTCTATTACAGCCCAGCATATATGACAGTATCATTTTAATTAAAAAGTTACCGTATCTTCCTGATCTTTTGCCATCAAGTTCCGGTGGGTTTTTTTTTTTTTTATTATTAAATATTATAATCTATAAATTTCCCATCGAATAAATATTTACTTGAATAATTTTTATAATTTAAATATAAAATCTTGAAAATTTATATTTTACATACAAATTAACAAATAAATAAGAAATAAAGATTTTGCAAATTGTACAATAAAATTCCTCTTCTTTTAAATTATTGATAATGTTGAGAAATTATTTTCTTTTGTAAAAGCTATCTATATGGAATTTTTGGTAAGAAAAATATTTGTAGCCTATTGAATTATAATTTTCTATCTGGTAATAATAATTATTAATTATTTATTAATTAATTAGTTTTAATGATTAGTTAATTATTATTAATTAAAGTGTTTGAGATAAATATAAAATGACGCATTTTTTTTTTTAGGAATGTATAATGTTTACGTTGAAGATTTTATGGTAAGGGATGCAAAATATATTTGGCATGGAATAACATATCAGAGATTAAAAGAAATTTTAAAAGAAAATAGAAAACTTCGTGGCTTTCCATTAGTGGATAATCCTGATTCAATGATTCTTCTTGGATCAATTCAAAGACTTGAACTTATTAAATTAATAGAAAAACACATTGGCAGAGAAAGACGATTACAGGTTAGTGATATTAATCTAATACTAGAATAAAAAAATTAATTGAATTATTCAATTAATTATTAATTAATTAATAATAAATTGAAAACTTCAGTTATTTTATTATATTGATGAAATTTTTTAGGTCGCTCAAAAAATGCAAAAAGAAGCTGAAGAAAGAGTGAGAGAAGAAATGGAGAGACAACTGAAAGAACAAGAAAGATCAAGAAGACCCTCTAGATTTGAGGTGATACCAGCTCCCGATATTCTTAAAATGCAAAGGCAAAGTGCTACCGATTTATCAATGTCAGGAAATAACGGAAGTGCCTCTGATAATGTAAGTACAAAAAAAATCACCATTCTTAGCAATATTTGTCGAAATTTTTATTAGTCTATAAAAATATTTGTCATAAAAATTAATTTTTGTTTTAACAGTAAATTTATAGATAATTTTTTTTTTTTCAAATTTAGCATATTTTTCACGCTCCTGTTTTTGGAACTCAACCGAAAAAGTCAATATTAAAGAAGACAAATTCCTTTACTCTCAAAGGTTTTAGTCCTTTGGCCAGTCCGGCTGTTACTCCGTATACAACAGTTACGGGAGCTGAGAGCAGGTTCGTTGTTTTCTTTTTTTTTTTTTTAAATTTCTTATTGACCTTTTTTTCGAAGAAGATGAAATTAAAATAAAAAAATAATTTTCCTTTTACAGAATAAGGCTGGCCTTTGAAGCAATTTTTAGAAAATCTGCCACATTGCAGGATGTTGATCCAGATCCAGAATTAGGATCGCGAGGAAGACGTGACAGCGAAGATGGAATAAATGCTCAACCACATCATCCAATGCTTGCCCCGAGTCCTGCTACTTTAAAGAAAGTTCAACTCGTAAGAAAATAATAAATATTATTTCCATAATTTATTTTAAGGCCAGGTCCAAGTGAGGCAGCGCCATCTACATTGAAACTAAAATTTTGGAAAATTTTCAACAGCCTTTTCTTGAAAACAAGAAGGTAAAATGCTTTTTCCTTTATGGATAATTGATTATTGGCAAGATATACACCAGCTAAAACTTTTTTTGAGTTAAAATAATAAAAAAAATTTCATGTCAATAAATTAAATATGAGCACTTTTTTCACAAAAACTGTAACAGTACTTTCTCAGAAATTACAATCAAAAATGCAATTTCCATTTGAAAAATTAATAAACGCTAAAAAATACACGACCTAAGATTTACCAATCACGAAAATAACAAAAAAAAAGTATTTTAACATAACATATTTTACTCATTATGACAGCCGTTTGGCAGGTTATATATGTCAACAGACGTTTCGTAGTTTTGCCGAAAGGAGGAGATTGGCGCTGTTGCTAACCACCTGAAATACATAATCTACCAAAGGGCTGTCACAATCAGTAAAGCAGTATCAATATGTTAAATATTTAATAAAATTTTTTTTTGTTATTTTCGTGATTGGTAAATCTTAGGTCGTGTATTTTTTAGCGTTTATTAATTTTCCAAATGGAAATTGCATTTTTGATTGTAATTTCTGAGAAAGTACTGTTACAGTTTTTGTGAAAAAAGTGCTCATATTTAATTTATTGACATGAAATTTTTATTATTATTTTAACTCAAAAAAAGTTTTAGCTGGTGTATATCTTGCCAATAATCAATTATCTATAAAGGAAAAAGCATTTTACCATCTTGTTTTCAAGAAAAGGTTGTTGAAAATTTTCCAAAATTTTAGTATCAATGTAGATGGCGCTGCTTCACTTGGACCTGGCCTTAATACTATTTTACTAATTATTATTTAAAATTTATTTTCTTCATTTGCAAAATTTTAAGATGCATGAATAATGCCTAAAATTCATTTGTAAAAATTTTTATTTCATAGAATTTTATTTCAGATAGAATTTTCTTTTTGTCGATTTTTATTTTTCCGAATTTCCAATAAACGTCTGTTTTCTGCGTTAAAAGTGCTTGATTGATTGATTCTTTGCAAAGGGAAGACCTTTAATTATAGCCTCTATAAAAACGGCACTGAACGTGAAAATAATAAACATTGGTTTTAAAATCCTTTTTCTCGAAACACGGACACTTTTTACAAAATCGGCCAAAATACCAAGGATTCTTATACTATGAATTTTCCAAATGCGAAAGATTTTGCGAATCCATATAAAAACGAGACTGCAAAATGAAAAGTAATATAATAACAGTTGTGACTTTGTGCTCCCTGCATGCTTCTGCCATCTGACGGCGGCAGGACGTAATAAACCTGTCATTATATTACTTTCCTATTTTTCGTTTTGCAATCTCGTTTTTGTATGGATTCACAAAATATTTCTTATTTAGAAAATTTGTAAGATATGTAAGAATCCTTGGTATTTTGGCCGATTTTGTAAAAAATGCCCGTGTTTAGAGAAAACAGAATTAAAAATCAATGTTTATCATTTACCTCCATGAAGTTAGCGTCGACGCTCAGCGCCAAAAATTGTTTTTCACAGGACCAAAAATGTCAAATTATTTTTTTTTAGGATTTCTGGTCCAAATGAGAAATACTTTTTAAGGTATTATGTGGACCCAAAACCTTTTTAAAAATGATTTGATATTTTTGGTCTCGTGAAAAATAATTTTCGACGCCAACTTCATGGAGGTTATCATTTACACATTCAGTGTCGGTTTTTATAGGGCGATGATTAAAGGTCTCTCAGTGCGCGTAACGACTTTAAGTGAAATATCTGATGCTCCGCGAGGAAAGGTACCTTACACCAAAAAATTTTAGGTTATGTTTAGTGATAGTATTTAATTATAGGCAAATTCAAAAATAGATTTTATTGAATTTTTTAAAAAACTAATTTTATTATTTTTAATTTTTAAATAAATATTACAGCACAAAAGAGAAACTTTGATGAAACTTTTTTTTTTTGTACAGTAAACTTAAAATAAAAATTCTATTTTTAATTATATTTTCTTCGAGAGTGTTTTTTTCCGCCCCGAATCTCGATTCGAATACTCGTCGATGTATTTTCAGTTAAAAATTAAAAAACAAAACCTAAAGTTTTTTGGATCTCAGATAGCTTTTGTCGCGTATAGCGTTACATATAAACGTGTGTAATGGTCAGACCCTTATTTAAAAAATTTTTTTTTCTAGCCTCGAGAAAGAGTGATTGATATGTCAGCAGAAGACCAGAAAATATGGGAGGAAAGTGAAATGGCTCTTGAAGTTGATTTTTCAGTTTGTCATATTGATCCTGCTCCATTTCAGCTTGTTGAAAGGACATCTTTACTCAAAGTTCACAGTCTTTTTAGCATGGTTGGAGTTAATCATGCATATGTGACTGTAATCGGTAGGCTAGTGGGTGTAGTGGCTCTCAAAGAAGTAAGTTTCCATTTATATAAATATACACTGAAAAATAATTCCTCGTTTTTTTAAAAAAGTTTTGTAAAAAAAAATATCAATGGCATTTACTGCAATTTAATAGAGCAGAAAATATCCGAGTTATTGCAATTGTTTATAACTAAAAAAACGTACCCTTTTTTCTAAATCTATTATTATGCAATTATGTATAATAATATTCGTTTAATTTATTTAATGTATATGATAGTATCACTCTTTAAGAGTAAAATGAAAGAAAAATAAAATTAAAATCGCTTGGTAAACAAGTGGGGAAATTAGATTTAAAAAAACAACATGTTTTTTTGTTAACAACTGGAATAATTTATAAATTATTCATCCGATCGGGTATTGAAGTTTTTCCGATTTATTCTGTATCGCAAGGGGCACATTTTCATGAAGTTTCAAATTATTATCAATAAACTTATTAAATAATTAAAAAAAGTGCCATTTTTAATCGTTTATAACAATTAAATAATCCAATTTTAACCTGCGACCTACCATTTTGTGGGTATTTTTTATACCTTTCTTTTTTAAGAGCATTGAACGGTCTCTGTAATTCATTATCAAAAAGAGATCTTTAATTATCACCCTATAAAACGGCACTGAATGTGAAAAAAATAATAAACATTGGTTTTAAAATATTTTTTTTTGAAACACAGACACTTTTTAGAAAATCGGACAAAATACCAAGGATCCTTATTTTATAAATTTCTTAAATCCGACAGATTGTGCGAATCCATGCAAAAACGAGATCGCTAAACGAAAAATAGGAAAGTAATATAATGACAGGTTCATTACGTTCTGCCGCCGTCAGATGGCAGAAGCATGCAGGGAGCACAAAGTCGCAGCTGTTATTATATTACTTTTCATTTTGCAGTCTCGTTTTTGTATGGATTCGCAAAATCTTTCGGATTTAGTAGGGTGTCTATTAGTCCTGGAAGTCCTTGAAAGTCCTGGAATTTTAATTTTTATCCTTGAATTTTTTATATTTTGCTTTTAAATTTTCAAAAATTTCTAATTTTGTCAATCGAGTTAAAAAAAATTCATTGAATAAGTAAAATGAAAATTTACTTAATTAATTAATTTTTTAATAATTTCTGAAAACAATAGTTAAACTAAAAAATTTTTTATTCCTTAAAGTCATCCAATTTAATGTCCTGGAAAAATAAGAAATTTGTCCTGAAAAGTCCTGGATTTTAATTCAGATTTTTAGTAAACACCCTGTTTAGGAAATTTATAAAAATTAGTAAAACATTTTAACTAATTTGAATTAGTAACTCACTTTTGCTTTTGAATTAGTTAAATTTTACTAATTCGATAGTAAAATTTGTTTTACTATTAATTTTAGTTAAATTTTACTAATTCGATAGTAAAATTTGTTTTACTATTAATTTTAGTTAAATTTTACTAATTTGATAGTAAAAATTTTTTTACTGTTGATTATTTAAATTTTACTAATTCGATAGTAAACAAATTTTTTTTTTGGCTATCAATTTGTTAAATACTAATTTAAAACCAAAAAGTGAGTCACCCAGAAAAAAAAGAATTGGGAGTAAGCGATAAGAATTGGTGGTAACTTAAGCTGAATTCGGTTTGGCGAAAAAACCGAATTGGAACGTTACGGTGAATTTTTTTTTTCTTACCGTGAATTCTTTTTTCTTAAACATTTGAATTGACGTTTGTTTATTCGAGTTTGCATTATAAATGAATAAAATAAATACTTCGAAGTCTAAAAAAGCCGATGTGGAATAAGAAATATATAATTTAAAAAAAATAAATGAAAGCGAAGTGTGACAGATTCACCGACGATTTTATCAAGTGAGTAGTGTTCATATGATAAATTTACCATATGAGTAGTACTCACTTGATAAAATCGTCGGTGAATCTGTCACACTTCGCTTTCATTTATTTTTTTAAAATTATATATTTCTTATTCCAAATCGGCTTTTTTAGATTTCGAAACATTTATTCTTATTCAGTTATAATGCAAACTCGAATAAACAAACGTCAATTCAAATGTTTAAGAGAAAAGAATTCACGGTAAGAAAAAAATAATTCACCGTAACGTTCCAATTCGGTTTTTTCACCAAACCGCATTCAGCTTAAGTTACCACCAATTCTTTTCGCTTACTCCTAATTCTTTTTTTTTACTGGGCACTAATTCAACTTTGTGCTTCTTGCATGCTTCTGCCATCTGACGGCGATAAGACGTAATAAACCTGTCATTATATTACTTTCCTACTTGTTATTTATTTGCAATCGTGTTTTTGCTTGGATTCGCATAATCTTTTGGATTTAGAAAATTTATAAGATAAGGATACTTAGTATTTTGACCGATTTTGTAAAAAGTGTCCGCGTTTTGAGAAAAAAATATTTTAAAATCAATGTTTATCATTTTCACGTTCAGTGCCATTTTTATAGTGCGAAGACTTCAGGTTAAAATTGGCTAACATAACCTCAAAATTAGATCAATTTCTAGGTCAAAAGGCCGCTGGGTTTGAGAATATAATCAGAACCAAAATACTAAAAAAAAAGTCTAATAACATAGATAGAATAGTAATATAATAGTAAAATAGAAAGATATATTGAAATTTTCAATTTGTGTTTTCTGTTTCAGTTAAGAAAAGCAATTGAAGACGCTAACTCAGGAATTCTCCCAGTCCACAATGAGTCTAATCTTTCAGTTTCAAATTCGAGTCTCTTTAAAATTGATCCCAATATTAATCGAAATAATAGTAACAATCACACTAATTCGGTAGCTTTAAATCCAATAGGATTTGAAAATATTAATAAAATCGATAAGGTCTAGAAAAAAAAAAGTTGTAAATCGACCACATATATTTTCAATTGTGATAGTTGCGTTACAATTGTGTAACGCAGCCTTTATAAAAAAAGAGTGTTTCACTTCTTCATAATATTTCTTATATATTGTGCACAAGAATAATTGTCCAATATTGTGTATACGAATGCAAAGCATAATATTATTTTAAATTCTGAGATTTTAGGGAAAGAATATTTGATTTTAAAAATTCCAAAAAAAAAAAACAAAAAAAAAAAGAATCAGATTTTAATTTTTAAAAATGTACTTGTGATGTACTTAAATCATTAACAAACAGAATGATATACAACTACCAGAGAAAGAAATTTTTTTTTTTTTGAAATATTTGTTATATTACTGTCTTTATATTTGTCGACAACATTAAGAATTGGTGATTATTTTAATGTTTTCTTTAAAAAAAATTTTAACAAAGTTACATTATTTATTTTTTAATTATCACAATTTTATAATTTTTTAAAATAATAATAATAATAATAATAATAATAATATAAAATACCACTTAAAAAATAGTCGATTTCACACGACTACACATTTATGGTAGTTTATATAATTCGTAAAGTGACTTGACAAATCAATTTTATCCCTAAATCTCATATCAAAAATTTTCTATAAAAATTTTATGATTTTAAATATTTACGATGATTGAGTTCGTTTTGTATCAAAAAACAATTTTTAATACTTTTTTTTAAAACAAATCAACTGTATCGTAATTTTTATAAAAAATTTTGATTTATTACATTTTCAATTGAATGCAAAAGAATTTTGTTAATAAAAGAGTGTAGTTTCTTGTCATGTTAACTTATATTGCAATATGTATGTATATGTTTATTATTATTTTACTCTCAGAATGATTTATATTTAAATATTTTAAGAGATCATGTCCAGTAATATAGACCAAATTATTTTGTCTCGTACGATAATCGTGATACCAGTTTTCAAAATTGTACATTAATCAACATTATAATTTTTTTTAAGATTCATTGAAAATGAGCGAAAAAATTTTTTTTTTAATTATCATTACACTCATACCTTTCGGCAGTGACGAATTTTTTCGAGTAATAATTGTCGGAGGGAATTTTTGTCGTTTCAAATCGAATTGAAAATTATCGAATTTCTAGTTAGCAGCATATTTTATAAAATGGATTTTATAATGTTTCAAATATCATAACGAAGAATTTCTATTTAACAAAATTTTTATGAAAGAAAATTTCTATTCGAACTAATTTTTTTTTTAACAAAATTATCAATTAACAGAAATTCTATTTTGCTGAATGTTTAAGTGAAAGAATTTCTAGTTCACCAAAAATCCATTTGACCGAACTTTCCGAATTGTCATTTGGTAGAACTGTTAAAACGTCGAATTTGCATTTTATAGAATTTTTACATTTCCGATCATACACCTGGACAAAATATTTCAACGGGAGTTTTAAAGTCAACCAATTACAATTTTTTTCATAATTTTTGATTGGTCAATTTTAAAACTCCCGCTAAAAATGTTTCGGACGGGTGCATGATCGAAAATGTAAAAATTCTATCAAATGAAAATTTGCCGTTTTAATAGTTCTACCAAATGACAATTTGTAACAAATGAAAATTCGGTCAAATGAAGTTTCGATGAAATAAAAATTCTCTTACTTAAAGAAGATGGAGGCCTTAACATAACCTAAAAACTGAAAAATGGTTTTTAACGCAAACAAAACTAATAAAAAATTAATTTCTAAAAATTTTAGAAGATTTGGTTATGGTGAAAATTATGTTGAGTTAAAATCTTTTGTTAAAAAATTATTTTTTAAACATTTTTATTTTTTTCTTTCAGCTTAGAGAAAAATTGTAATTTTTTATCCACTTTTTATAAACAGTAGTTTATTTTATTCAGTGAAATATTCTCTAGAATTAGAAAATTTTTAAAATTGTTAAAATATTATAAACAATATAAATCTTATTTATTAAATAATTATAAATGTAGGTAAATAAATAAATTTTCTAACTGAAAAAATTTAACGATTGTAGAGAATATTTCATTGAGAAAATAAGCTATAGTTAATAAAAATTCCGATTTTTATCTGTTTCGGAAAAAGAAGTTAAAATATTAAAAAAATAATTATTTAACAAAATATTTTAACACAATATACCTAATTTTTTCCGAAAAGTATACAACTAAATCGTTGAAAATTGTTTGAAATTAATTTTCATTACAATTTTGTTTGCGTTAAAAACTATTTTTCAGTGTAAGTAAAATTTTATTCTAAATGACAATTTCGTTAAATAAAAATTAAGTCGATTAGAAATTTTGTTAATAAAAGTTTTGTAAAAAATATTTTTTTTTCTTAAATTATTAATAATTGAAATTTTTTTAGCAAATCGATAAAAAAAATAATTTTGATGAATAAAAATTAATTTTTTATGAAAATTTTGCTAGACATAAATTTTTTTAAATGGAAATTGTATTATTTGAAAGTTCGATGTATCGAATAAATCGACTTTATAAAAGTTCAGTTAAATAATAATTCTATTAAATTAGAATTTAGTTAAATAAAAATTCTATTAAATCAGAATTTAGTTATATAAAAATTCTACGATTTGAAAATTAGGCTAATTGTAAAATTCACTTTATAAAATTCTGCTAAATAAAAATTCGATAATTTTTAATTCAACACGAAAAAAATTTCCTCGGGTCTAATGTAGGGAATATTCATGCGTCCCTAGTTTACCGCAGCGATGAGAAAATTCGGCGCGCGCATGCAATTGAGAGGTGGGAGTTTAAGATCGACGCTAAGAAAAATTTAAAGAGGGGGAAAACTTTGATAATTCGTCACTAGCAGAGGGATGGCTTATAAAATAAATGAAAAAGCTTTAGATTTTAATTATTAGAGACTTGTGTGTAAAATTTACCAAAATATTTCATTCCTACCGATATATATGTATACGAATTTTCCAATTAACACACACACATTCATGGAGTTAGTTTCTTATGTACCACAATATTAGAATAATTTTAATTTTGTAAAATCTTTCTCCTATAGTTTCGTTTGTTTTTTCCCCCAAAAATATATGCTAATAATTGTATGTGTGAAATGTTACAAGTATGTTTGTATCTTACATTCCATTCGAAATTGTGCGATGAAGTTTCTGATTAATTCATTTTACTTATTGTAAATATCACTTAGAATGAGTGATTCTTATGTAAAATTGTTACAATTATTGATATATTTAATAAAAATCCGTTATATTTCTCGCGTCATATGTAAATAATTTATAACATAAAAAAAGACAGTATATATATAATTTATTGTATGTAGATATATATATATGTTTTATTTTATTAAAATAATTCCAATTTAGAGAATTATTTATATTAAATATATTATTACACAAAAATAATTACAAATCACTGTAATAACTACATATAGCGAACAACTATATTATATATTAAAAAGAAAAAAAAATGTTATTGACTATATTATAATCACAATAAGATTCTTGATGAACGTGAATCAAAAGTAGAAAATTATTTTTAAAAAATATTTTATAATGAGGTAACATTTTTTGGTAATTTTGAAATTTTCTCCAAATTGAAAATAAATTATTGAAAAAAATTTTTATAAAATTGAATTTACACGAATATAAAAATACAAATTTTGAGATATATAATGATAAATTTTAAGCATTAATTTTATTGGGAAATTTCATATATTAGAACTAAACCAGCCATGCAGACATTTTGGCACTGGACCAGAAGTAACAAACGTCGCACGTCCAATTTCCTCGAAAGTAGTGGCATTTAAAATTAATAGGCCAACTTCTGTTTCGCGATCCTGTCCCCATATCAGGACACTTAAAACAATACCATCGTCTTCGTTCTAAAAAAAAAGAATATGTAATTTCTAATTTTTATGAAAATTTGAACTTTTTATTTGAAATATTCATATATAATATGTAAAAAGTTTAAAAAATAAAAATAAATTTTTTTTTTATATGAAAATGCAACAAATTTTTGTTGTAGTCATTAAATGAAACACTCAGGATCTTCATTAAGATGATTAATTTATTTAAAAAAAAGTTTAATATTTAAAATTACAAATAAGAATCACCAAAGGCACCAACGCAGCTAGCTGCCATCTTTTTTTTTCCTCCTCTCTCTACTTCTCTCCCCACTCCTCACATCCAACTTCAGCTCCCTCTATTCTTATCTATATAAATTAATACTTTGCCCGCCTTTATTTTAAATGATAACATTCGGCCATCCTTAATTTGTTTGGACCCTCAAACAATAATCAGTAATTAACTTTTTCAGTGAGCAACATAATCACCATATCGTTGTGGTTTTACACTTTGCCTTTTTCGCCTTAAATTGACAGATTCGTTTACATTTTTCGTTTTTACAGTTCGACGTTTTACATTCTCGCATTTTTCGATATCATTCATATTTACATTTCTCTTTTCAATCATATTATCATCACTTTCAATCTCATCATGAATTTCCTGATCACTTTCTAAATCTGAATTCAACTCAAAGTCATCGAATTTTTGATATCCCGTCCATAATTTTAGTTGACTCACGTGCGCGGTAGTTTCGTACCCTCTATCTCCGGTTTTATTTAATTTCTTTACTCGATAAACATCACTCGGTAAAATCTCGAATATTACTAACGGACCAGTATATCTAGGTTGCAACTTTGTTGATTGACCGGTTGAAATCGGATTTCGTTTCATGTAAACTATATTTCCAATATCATACTTTACATTCGCGTTTTTGTTTTCATCGTATTTTAACTTATATTTCTTTTGTTCATTAGCCAAATGTTCTCTAACTTCAGATTGAACAATTTCGGGTAATTGATAATCAAAATTTTTATCAGCTATTTCGCGCAATCCATCAATTTCGTGTCGCGGTTTAAACCCATATAAAGTTTCAAAAGGACTTTTTCCGGTCGATCGACTTACACTTGAATTCAAATCATTTTGAATCTTACTTAATTTACGATCCCAATTATTTTGTTTATTATCATCTAACGCTATTTGCATAATCGGTAAAACGGTTTGATTCAATCGCTCAATTAAGCCATTTGCTTTCGGGTGACGACTCGAATTTAGTGTATGTTTAATTTGATAATCATCACATAATTTTTGGAAATTTTGACTCGTAAAACACGTTCCTCGATCTGTGATAAATCTTTTCGGAGCTGTAAATTGCAAAATATATTTTTCACACGATTTTACAGTTTCTGTGGCGCTTACATTTTTAACCGGTATTAACACAGCGTATTTTGTCAAATTATCAATCAAACCAAGTACATATTGATTTTTCAAACCAGTCATGGGGAATGGTCCCAAATGATCAATATGAACTACATCAAACGGTTGTCGACCTATCGGGATCGGATGTAATTCTCCCTCCACTTTCCCTGCTTTTCGCTTTGCCAAAATACAAGGCAAACAACTTCTAATGTGGAATTTTACATAAGCTTTCAATTTCGGAAAATAATAACTCTCAAGGATACTCTTACAAGTTTTATCAACGCCAAAGTGGCTTTTCAAATCGTGAAACCTGATAACAATCGATTTTCTCATTGACGGCGGAACAACAAACAATTTTCGATTTTTTTTGTCAACCATTACTGATTTAAATAACAAACCGTCTTCAAGACAATAATCTTTTACTTTTTCTTTTTCGTCTTTAGATCGTTCGATTTCTTTCCTTAATAATATTTCGATTATAAGCTTACTTTTCGGATCAGATCGTTGAAACATTAACAATTCGTTATCGCGTCTGTTTACAAACATAATTTCGGCATTTTGACAATGGTCAGGTGAATTTTCAGAATTTTCGACAGGTGCTCTTGATAAGGCATCTACATGCAACATTTTACTACCACTTCTGTGTTTAATCTCAAAATCGTATTCTGAAATTTCACTTACCCATCGGGCAATTTGAGTATTTTGAGTCTTCCATATATTTAAATAAACAAGACATTGGCAATCTGTGATAATTGTAAAATGAATTCCAATTAAAAAAGGTCGCAATCTTTCGAGAGCCCACTTAATCGCCAACAATTCCAACTTACTGGAATGGTATTTCGATTCTGACTCGGTTGTTTTCTTACTAATTGCGTACACTAATTGCAATTTTTCGTTTTCAGTGTCAGATTGAAAAATCATAGCACCAAGACCCACAGATGACGCATCAGTGTGTAATTCAGTTACTTCCGCGAGTGAATTATACATTTTTAAAACCGGTTTCGACGTTAATTTTTCTTTAATGTCTTTAAATGATTTTTCTTGCTCGGATTTCCATTCAAAAGGACGATCGTTTTTCAACAAATCCGTGATTGGTGCGATAATCTTTGCAAAATCGGGAATAAATCTACGAAAGAAACTTGACAAACCCACAAATCTTCGAACTTCGTGAACAGTCATTGGTCTCGGAAACTGTTCAATCGCAAGAATCTTTCTTTCGCCTGGTTTAATTTGACCTTCGCCAATTACAAAGCCCAAGTACTCCACTTTTCTCATTCCAAATTGACACTTCTTCAAATTTAATGTTAAATTTGCATCCCTCAATAAACCCAAAACAATCTTTAAATTACTCATTAATTTTTCCCAAGTTTTAGCATAAACACACGTGTCATCAAAGAAAGTAAAAGCAATTTTATTTCGTCTTGCCTCTCCCAAAACTTTTTCCATTAATTTAGCAAAATATCGTGGAGCATTTGCAAGACCGAACATTGCCCTCTCAAAGTGTCCCGTTTGTGATTCAGTTATAAAAGCTGTTTTTATTTTTGCATTTTCTGTCAGTGGCATTTGCAAATAGCCACTCAATAAATCTAAAAGTATAAAAAATTCGACTTCACCCAGCTCTTCTAAGAGCTCATCAAATTTTGGAATGGGAAAATTAACCAGCTTTGTAATTTTATTTAGTCGTCTATAATCTATTACCATTCTTAGATCCCCGTTTTTTTTTTTGATTAAAAATGCCGGACTTGCGAAATCAGAATTTGTTTCCGAAACCAAACCTGCTTTCTTATATTCCCTGACAATTTTATCTAGCGCTTCACGATCGTGTCTATTCATTTTATACGGTTTCGACTGAACTGGTACCGCATTTTCTTTTAATTCAATGTCCATTTCAATTTTATTTGTACAACCAAGTTCACTTTCATTCAAAGCTATACAATCTCTAAAATCATTCAAAATTGTTACAACTTCTTCTTTTTGTTTATTCGTTAAAGATTCATCGAGGTTTACATTATCGCGAGTAATTTTACTTTTCGGTTTTGCCGTCGGAATTTCGTCGTCCTCATATACCACCATAATATCATTAAAAATATCCCCTTTATTAATCATTTGCGGTTTATTTCCCATGTTAATTACAGGCCATTCTAATTTAGTCTCATTAATCACGACATTGATAAAATTTACCGTTCCGGGTTGTACTTCACAATTTTCTAACGACTCGATTTTAGCATTGCTTTTTTTCTCGTGATTAAAAATTTCTAACTCGACATTTTCGAATTTCAACTCTGAACCAATTCGCGTGTAACTTATATTTTCATTTTCAGTAAAGCTACGTCCCAAAATAATGTCATATTTCTGCGAAAAATCAGGAACAACTTTTAAATTTAATTTTAACGGCTTCAAATTTTCGAATTTTATGACAGCGTCAATTTTTCCGGGTGACTCGATTATACTTTCCCCAAATCCACTTAATTTCATTTTAACTGGATGCATTTCAAAACCCTCAATTAAAACTGTCGTCGATTTTATTGTTGAAACCGACGCTCCCATGTCAATTAATGCTTTTAATTTCTTTTCATTAACTTTAACCTCTCGAATAAATTTATCGCCCGAATTATTTTTATTCACTTGACTCGTATTTTTAACTAAATTTACCTCTTCAATTTTAGGACTTTTATTTTCACTTTTATTCGATTTTTGATTGCAACGATTTGCGATATGTCCGGGACGTTTACAAATATAACATATAATTTCTCGTTTTTCGTTTGTACAATTTCGCGCTAAATGACCAAATTGATTACATTTAAAACACTTACGTTCGTCCTGCGAAGTTGTTGAATTGCTTTGATTAATCGATCTCTTACCATCTGTCGATGAATTGTTATCATCTCTGCTTGAAGTTGACTGTTGTCTCCATCTGCTACTACCTGATTGAGAATTTTGTCGTTTAGATTCAGCAATCCTTTCTCGTCTCGCATTATCCATCCTCTTGACCATCACCAAATCTTGCAGCATTGCATCAGTTGACTGATAATCACGTGCCATCACGTAATTCGCCATGTCCTTACTCCACAAGCCTCTAGCAACTTCATTTCGAATTTCAATTACGGTTAGACGAAGTACCTCACACAAATAAACCTTTTCCAAAAAATAATCCAGAATTGATTCTTTTGGTCCTTGAACTCGTCGTTCCATTTCTTTTAACTTTTCACTCACTGTCAATGTAAAGGTGAACGTTGCCTTGAAAGCTCTCACAAATGTTTCAAAATTAGTTATTACAGTTCCTTTTGTCAATAACCACTTAAAAGCACCTTTCTTGAGTCTCGATTTCGCAATGCTATACGCCATTGCATCTGTCCAATTGTTAATAATTTTCATATTTTCAATTTCTCGAATCCAAGCCCTGGCAGCTTCCGGTCCCTCATTTCCCTGAAATTCATGAATTGCTTCAGGAATTGGAGGAAAATATGGCATCAAAGTATCTTGTCGTGCTGCTAAGTTTTCGGATAGCGTCGACAAAACTCGAGTTAATTCGTTGCTTTCTCGTGACGAACTCGCAGTAGCTTGATTCCCACGCGCCTGCGCTTCTGTACTAAGATGTTCCATGGCTGCATTCATGTCCGCTTCTTTTCGTTTCAAAATTTGATCACGATCCCGAATTTCTTGTTCATAAAACTCCCTCTCTTGCTCTATATCCTCTTTCTGTTTCTGGATCAACTCCAGAGCTCTGGCCAGCCTCTCCTCGGCTGAATCTCCTGGACCATTCGACATGCTTCCAGCTAAAGATAACTGATCAGAATAATTGTCTCGATAAAACGTTTCAAATGATTTCTCTCGCAGATTATCACCATCCATTAATCCAACTGATTAACAACTTTAATTAAAACGATCCTCACTATAATCAATCTCACGATCTCTTTTTACTAATCCACAAAACATGTGAAAACCACACCAACAATGAACAAGCTCTGACGCTTCACACTTTCACGTTTCCCATCCAAGAATATCTCGTGCATCCAAACTTATTTTGTAATCCTCGTAATCCCACTTCTGATTTGTTGTAGTCATTAAATGAAACACTCAGGATCTTCATTAAGATGATTAATTTATTTAAAAAAAAGTTTAATATTTAAAATTACAAATAAGAATCACCAAAGGCACCAACGCAGCTAGCTGCCATCTTTTTTTTTCCTCCTCTCTCTACTTCTCTCCCCACTCCTCACATCCAACTTCAGCTCCCTCTATTCTTATCTATATAAATTAATACTTTGCCCGCCTTTATTTTAAATGATAACATTTTGAATATAATTAAAATTTCTTTTTTCTTTACCTTTCCATCTGGAGAGGGAACAAAAATTGGTTCACTTGGATAGACATTTTTTTCACACCATGTTTTTCGAGTTTTATTGAAAATATCGACTTTGATGATCTATTTAAAAAAAAAGAAAACTAAATAAATATGGATTAAAATTTCTCAAACGGATCACCTGAAATTTTCAAAAAACACAATTTATTTACAACGTAAATTTTATTTCTACCTGTTGTTAAAATTATTAAGAAATGGTGCGATTCCAGGTGAGATTTTGATTTTTTCGGAGTAGGTTAACCGATTGCAATGAAACTTTGGAATTTTGTTATATATAGAAAGACTAATCTTTAACGTAAATTGCAGCTTAAAATATTTCTTAGTTTACGAGATTTACAATAAGAACAAAAAAATTTAAACTGCTATATCTACCGTTCTAATAATCGGATTGAGGTCTACTTTTTTAAAAAATGTCAAGGAAAATGAGAGGAATAAATCTCTTTCAGAACAATTTTTTATAATTTTACAACTAAAAAAATTATTAAATAATAATTGAATAAATTTCACGCGACAATCTAAAAATCAATCACTTAAACGCTAAAATGATCTTACATGTGTTTTCTTTAATGTTCCGAAGAAATCCAATTGTAAATGCAAGTTTAACTTATTTAATTTTAATAATTTACGAGTATAAACAATTGCGATTTCTGCTAGTTGACGTGCAGACGACATTGCGCACGCAGCATTCTCACGTAGCCAATTTAGTCCACAAATCACGTCAGCTGGTTACAGGAGAATGCTGCGTGCGCAATGTCGTCTGCACGTCAACTAGCAGAAATCGCAATTGTTTATACTCGTAAATTATTAAAATTAAATAAGTTAAACTTGCATTTACAATCGGATTCCTTTGGAACATTAAAGAAAACACTGGTAAGATCATTTTAGCGTTTAAGACCAGGTCCAAGTGAGGCAGCGCCATCTACATTGAAACTAAAATTTTGGAAAATTTTCAACAGCCTTTTCTTGAAAACAAGAAGGTAAAATGCTTTTTCCTTTATGGATAATTGATTATTGGCAAGACATACACCAGCTAAAACTTTTTTTGAGTTAAAATAATAAAAAAAATATCATGTCAATAAATTAAATATGAGCACTTTTTTCACAAGAACTGTAACAGTACTTTCTCAGAAATTACAATCAAAAATGCAATTTCCATTTGGAAAATTAATAAACGCTAAAAAATACACGACCTAAGATTTACCAATCACGAAAATAACAAAAAAAAATTTTATTAAATATTTAACATATTGATACTGCTTTACTGATTGTGACAGCCCTTTGGTAGATTATGTATTTCAGGTGGTTAGCAACAGCGCCAATCTCCTCCTTTCGGCAAAACTGCGAAACGTCTGTTGACATATATAACCTGCCAAACGGCTGTCACAATGAGTAAAATATGTTATGTTAAAATACTTTTTTTTTGTTATTTTCGTGATTGGTAAATCTCAGGTCGTGTATTTTTTAGTGTTTATTAATTTTCCAAATGGAAATTGCATTTTTGATTGTAATTTCTGAGAAAGTACTGTTACAGTTCTTGTGAAAAAAGTGCTCATATTTAATTTATTGACATGAAATTTTTTTTATTATTTTAACTCAAAAAAAGTTTTAGCTGGTGTATATCTTACCAATAATCAATTATCCATAAAGGAAAAAGCATTTTACCTTCTTGTTTTCAAGAAAAGGCTGTTGAAAATTTTCCAAAATGTTAGTTTCAATGTAGATGGCGCTGTCTCACTTGGACCTGGCCTTAAGTGATTAAATTTTAGATTGTCGCGTGAAATTTATTTAATTATTATTTAATAATTTTTTTAGTTGTAAATTTATAAAAAATTGTTCTATAAGAGATTTATTCCTTTCATTTTCCTTGACATTTTAAAAAAAGTAGACCTCAATCCGATTATTAGAACGGAAGATATAGCAGTTTAAATTTTTTTGTTCTTATTGCAAATCTCGTAAACTAACAAATATTTTAAGCTGAAATTTACGTTAAAGATTAGTCTTACTATAATATATAACAAAATTCCAAAGTTTCATTGCAATCATTTAACCTACTCCGAAAAAGTCAAAATCTCACCTGGAATCGCACAATGACGACCTCCATGAAGTTGGCGTCGACGCTCAGCGTCGAAATTTATTTTTTTACGGGACCAAAAATATCAAATGATTTTTAAAAAGATTTTGGGACCACATAAAATCTTGAAAAGTATTTCTCAAGGCTTATGTTATTAAGATATTACAAAAAAATTTAAACTTTATAAAAATCGATTATTTAAACAAATATGAGAAATTAAAACTAATACCGTAATTTTCTATTGCGGCACGTTTGTATCAGTTTCGGTGTATCAATTTCGGTGACCAAAATTACGTGTATTTTGAAGATATTTTGCCCGCCGAAATTGGAGCCAATAGAAATCTTAAAAATGTTTCAATTACGGCAAGGGAAAAAATTTGATCTCAAATAATTAAATTAATAATTGTTTAAATGTGCATCTTTGTAAGTAATTGTATCAAAAAAAGAGTGAAATAATTTTTTTTAATCATTTGGCAACAGTTATATTAAATATAATAGTAATAAATAGTTATTTTTTATGAACGCGCCGTAATTGATGCACTCGCCGTAATTGGTACACTTACCCTATGAAATATTAAAGTTAAATATTAATCGACAATTTAACAAAAATTAATTTCAATTATGTTTCACAAAAGTTGATGATACATTATTACCTAATCATCAATTTTGCTCTGCATGTAACTTTGCTTGTGTGCGCGCGCAACAATTTTCAGTTGTCTAAAATTAAATTATAATTAATGAATTAATAATTAATTTAATTTACCTATTTTGTAATCAATTAATCTAATATATAATATATTAGTACTAATTAATTAAATTGAATTAATTATAGCAGTAATTAATTTAATTTTCGACAACTGAAAATGTGTTGCGCGCGCACACAAGCTTGGACCGTGCAATTGGTTATTCTTCTCCTGTGAATTATCATCATAAAGTTCATAAAGTTGATAATGTGACTGTGCTATTGTACCTGTTTTGTTTGATCTCATTTTATAATACTTAAGTATAAATAAATCAAATTTAAAATTGTTGTGAGAAAAATACTGAAAAAAACTATGAAACATGTCAGAAAATGGAAATATAGTAAGTACCCTGTGAAAATTTATGTATTTATATATTTGAAAGAAAAAATAACCTCAAAATAAAAATATTTGTAATCTGAAGAAAGGTCTGTGTTGAAGAAATTTATAACATCTCATGATTTTTTTTTTTTTAGAAAAAACCAAGTAAGAAAATAAGCTCGAATTAATAATATTATAAAAAATTCTTCTTTTGAGGTTATATTTCTTTGTCAATAATAATATTCGATTTGTTAATAACCGTTTTAAAAGAGTATATATTTAGCGTTAAATTTTGTACAGGTATATTAAGTTGGCGCAACCACATTATCGAAATTACTTTTTACCTATGCCATAATTAAGTGCTCATTTAGTGCTAATTTAATGCCAAAAGCACAAATTTAATGCTGTACATTTTTAAAAAAAAAACCGTGGTGGCGCCAGCTTAACGTTAAGGTAGCGCCACCACATAAAACAAAGCTGCAAAAAATTTTCTTATTGATACCATAATTTAGTGCTCATTTAGTGCTCTCCAAATATTTTGCTCTTAATTAAAAATATGAGATTTTAAATGTTAGATTTGTCCAAAATCAAGTTTCAGACAAAAACAAGTTTAACCACTTACATTTTTTTAATTTAAAAATTTAAAAATTAATCGATTGACTTGATACCAGTTACACGGGGGTTTTCGGGGTCGCTGATTAGGAATACGGTATCATTTTTTCAAAATTTAAAATGGCGGAACCAATATGGCGGATGACAAAATTAAAAATTGACCGAATATGTTTGAAACTCGTTACTTGGAGGTTTTCTGGGTCGCTCATTACGAATCCGATGTTAAATTTTTTACGAATAAAAATTTTGAAATTAAAAAAAGATATAACCTCATCCTCTTTGCACAAAGAAAGATTTCTACTTGTGGAGCAAAAAATTTAAAATGGAGAAAAATTTATTGGCAAAAAATCTCCATTCTCTCTTTAGGGGAAGGGAGTAATCATTGTTAAATTAAAAAATTTGATTTTCTTTTCATTTTGAATTCTTTAGGACACAAGTAGCAACCTTTTCATTTGTAGAGAGGAGAAGTTTAAATCTTAATTTTTATTGTCAAAAAAAATTATTAGTAATACTAATTACTTTTTACCTATACCATAATTAAGTGCTCATTTACTGAATTTTAATGCGAATAGCACAAATTTAATGCTGTACATTTTAAAAAAAAATCATGGTGGCGCCAGCTTAACGTTAAGGTAGCGCCAACACATAGAAAAAATCTCTAAAAAATTTTCTTATTTATGCCATAATTTAGTGCTCATTGAGTGCTAATTTAATGCCAAAAGCACAAATTTAATGCTGCACCCAGAGAATAGATTACTTTGATTTAAAGAAATCAGTTTCTTTGACTTGTTTTATTTCATTTAAAATAAAATTTTCTTTGAAACAAAAAAAGCTTATTAGTTTCAGAGAAAATTGTTCTTTAAATCAAAGAAATTCTAACATTGAGTCATGGAAACATTTATTTGAAATAAATAAAAAATTTCTTTTAACGAAGATAAATTTTTTTAATCACAGAAAATTTGTTTGAAACAAATAAATTTTCTTTGAAGCAAAGAAATATTTCTCAAAGGAATTAATTTCTTTAATTCAAAGATATCCTTTTTCTAGGTCCGTTAACCTGGCTTGTCCACATTGTCCGATCTGGATAAAACCTATTTGAAAATTAAGGGCTAATTTAAGGCTAATTTAATGCCCTAATGACGAATTTAATGCTCGGCATTTTCTTTAAAAAACTTGTGGACAAGCTAGCTTAACATTAAGGTGGCTTTTCCACACAATGAAGGAGCACTCGTAGGAAAGTCTACTATAGGTCAAAATTTAGGGTTTTTTAAGGCTCTTCAATGCTTTATTGACGAATTTAATGCCAGCATCATTTCGCG